ACTTGCAGTACAAGGCTGCATTGTTGCTTGTGGGAAATATAGCAAGCACCTTGGGGGATTTCAGCTTAATTTCTTCTCTGAAGGTGGAATATGTTTTCTTAAGAGGCTTATTAATTCTTAGCGCATCGTGCCCAGTCCTGAAAAGTGCTGAGCTCTTCTTTGGTATATTAAATGTCTTCAAGTAACATCAATACCAGTGATGAGAAGAGCCATCTAAAACTGCTCTGAGAAATATCTGCTTCTAAAATTGATTCAGTTGAAGTTTGTGGAAAATAAGTTGTTCCAAACGATATTTTCAAAAGCAGGACCTGCCCAGTGCTTCTGTGGTCCAGGCTTACCAGAACCCACAGTTTGAGGGGATTGTGACCACTGGAAATCCTGCATGCTGGGGAATCCTCTGGCAATTTAGGGTGGTGAGGCACCGGCACAGGTTGCCCAGAGAAGTGGTGAATGCTCCATCCCTGGCAGTGTTCAAGGCCAGGTTGGACAGAACCTCAGGTGACATGGTCTAGGGTGAGGAGCCCCTGCCCATGACAAGGGGGTTGGAATTAAATGATCTGAAGGTCCTTTCCAACCCAATCCATTCTATGAATCGCATAACTGTTCCTCACCTTTGGATTCCTAGCCAGAAGGCTTCAGAATAGGTTCTGGTATCAAAGTGAGTATTACTCTACAGAGCAACCCCATAGTGAGAAGAAATGTTCAAAGCAAACAAAAGCAAGAAGTCTTCATGCAATGTTTAGTTAAGCTGTGGAACTCTCTGCCAACAGATGATGAGGGTGCTAATAGTTTAAGCAGATTGAATCGAAAACTTTCCGTGTTTATGAATATACAGAGCACACAGGTGTCTTGGGAAGTACCCAAGCTGGTGGTGGTTGGATACGTAGTATGACCACGGCCTGCCTTGCTCCTGATCATTTCTACTGTCATACTAATTTTTTAGCATCTGGTTTTGTGCAGTGATGGGGATGTGATACACAGCTGGATACAGGACACTGGGTTCAGTGCACCTTCGGTCTGACCCTGTAGAACTGCATTTTCAAAGTCAAGTTGCCAGTTGATTCAGGATAACTGAAGCATTTCTGAAAAGAGAAAAACTGAGAGATCCTAATTCCACTTCAGTGACAGGCACTACAGAAGCATATGGATGCCCGAGGTCTAAATTCATCACTGCTCCTGTGAAACATGCTTGTGTTAGAAACTGAGTCAACAGGAATAAAAGGATGGAAAACCAGGAGGATAGAGCTCCAGCCCTGCCGAAGCCAGCTGGGGGGTTTGTCCTTGGCTTCCATGGAGCTAGGATTTTACTTAATGCTTTTATTTTCCCATTCTCACACTACAAGAGCCAGGGGATATAGGACTGGAATAACAAGTCATGTCTTTGAGCAGATACATGGAAGCATTTCTCCATTCAATTCATTTTTCAAGGTTTATGTCTGGGAAAGTATTTGGATGTAAAAATCTTTCAGCCTTCCTGAGACGACTGTACATAAATAATATGCCTTTTTATACTGCAGGGCAGAAACGGGCTGCCTAAGGACAGGAAGATGGTGTTGCATATTTATTTGCTGTAGGTGACTGTATTTCCCAATTTCCTTTAGCATGTGTATTGGAGGATGTGAGATTGGATGGATATTTGGTTGAATTTGGATATGCTCTTTGGTTAAAACAGACTTCCTGAAAACATGCAAACTCTTCTACATGTTGAAAAGTAAAGGGAAAATAATAAAGTAATTGCTGTTCTATATGTGGACAAATTAAATGTTGCCATGGATACCCTGGTCTGTTTACAGCAATAATAATAAATGTTTTCAATTCACACTGTGCTTTTCATCTCAAAGGATCCCCAGGTGGTTTACAAATGACGGACGTGGATTGCTCCACACAGCACTGAGCTGGAGCAGCAAGGACTGCCTCACAATCTCTACTGGTACCGCCTGGCAGTAGAAGGTAGAAAACGTACTGTACCTGGGGTGAATCTGTAGGGATTGTTTGGGAAAGCAGAATGTAAATGGCAGGCCTGAAACACAGCCAAGAGCTGAACAGCAAAAGGCAAGGAATCAGATAGGATCAGGTCTCAAGTTACTGATAGGATTTGGTAGTTCTTTGAGCAGCTGGTTTAAATTCCTGCTAGAGCTGGGAGGAAATTCTTTCCTTCTCAAAAAACTTGTAGGTGAAAACCTTTCCCTTCCCCCCTGAGGTGAGTTTTGAAGGAAAAGAGCATCATGATGCCACCAGCCTATTAATAGTCCTCTTTAGGGATGCGGAAGATCCAGGTTCTATCCATCTTTGGTCCCTTCTCCCTGCTGAGTGACTGGCTTTACTCTTCCAGGGGGAACTACTAACTTTGACCTCCATAAGCTTATCAGATTATAACAGTTATTTGAGTTAGTATTAGGTAGAGCTTGAAAGAGATCTTATTGCAAGGTAAATCAGGTGTGTGCAGCTGCTGAACAGCCAGGCATGTTCTCTCTGGTAGTCTGCACAAGGTGGCTGAAGCGCCAGTGAAGGAGATCAGTAGCTTGGTGATGTGGATACTCTCCTGAGATGAGAAATGCCAGTACAGCTCTCCGGATTCCTGCACAAGTACATGGTCCAAGCCTGGGAGTAAGTGAGACTGTGTCTCCCTGTCTCTTTTGGAAGAAAGTTCCTCCTGGACTAAGACTTGATTCAAGCTTCATGATCATCACTGGTATATTCCCAACAAAACAAGCAACCCCCTGACAATTCCAGTGTCTGTATTTCCTTTAGATGAGGGAGACCTTGTAACAGTCTTCCTGTACCTAAAGGGGCCTGCAAGAAACCTGGAGAGGGGCTTTGGACAAGGGCCTGTAGGGACAGGGCAAAGGGAATGGCTTTAACCTGACAGAGGGGAGATTGAGATGAGCTCTTAGGCAGAAGTTCTTCCCTGAGAGGGTGCTGAGGCACTGGCAGAGGGTGCCCAGAGAAGCTGTGGCTGCCCCATCCCTGGCAGTGTTCAAGGCCAGGCTGGACACAGGGGCTTGGAGGAACCTGCTCTAGTGGAAGGTGTCCCTGCCCGTGGCAGGGTGTTGGAACTGGATGAGCTTTAAGGTCTATTCCAACCCAAACCAGTCTGTGACTGTAACATTTCACTTTGTGCTTTCTAGTTACAGTGTGAGTAACTCTCTATGCTTTCGCTTTCTTAGGCAGAGCATTAATGCTTATGTGTCCTACATAACCAGTGACAGAGAAAATGATTCTTTCAAACCACTTTATACTCATGCTATTTGTCTGTCTCACTTAGGAGAGGCAGCTGCACGGTGGACTCCAGTAAACTGCTTGAGAACTCTTCACTGCAGTGGCTGCCTTTGTAACAGCAACTTTTTCAATTCCCTGAGCTGCGCCCAACTTTCTGAGGTCAAAAATAATCACAGGTGCAAGTGATGGAAATGCTGTTATTATTTCAGTCTTGAAAGGCTGAGAAATGTGGAAAACCGGGTCCTCCTTCCTGTAACAAAGCCAGCAAACAAAGCCTCACTGCTAACAGCTTTTTCTTAATGAACTTGCCTTGTGCTATGGAGCATCCAAACCATTAAGAGACTTGTTAACAAAAAAGGTCTGTTTACTGAGGCTCTTTACCGGGGTAGAACCAAGCAGAGTTTAAGTTAACCATTGGAGTTCAGTGACTCTCTTCCATCCTTTGAAGAGAGGGGATTTAAAAAGTGCAACAGTTCTATCTAACTCCAGTTTTTGTTGAGAAACTGAGGTAGGGTTGAGGTTTGTATCTTAAACACAGGCCAGGTTTGCTGATATTTTGTCAACCTTTTGGGGTGTGTTGGGCAAGCTTTTAGCAGCCTGTCTTGGCTATTATTTTCATATCAGCCTTCCTGAAACTCAGCGTCTCCATGTGGCTTCCACCCAGAACAATGCAAAACCTGCTGAATTTACCTGGAATTTACTTTTATGCTTGGGAACCTGAGAACCTGAGCACTTTTAGGGGCTTGTTTCTGTAATAACACACATTACAGGGAAAAGAAAAGGATTGCACAGACTTATGTGAACTGAGATCATGAAGAGATTGACAGTGTTTTCTCGGATACCTATTTATAAACCTTGGCTTACTGTTAGCCTTCTGTGAAAACTTTCCCAGCCTGGGCTCTAAATTTTGCCTGTTCATAGGATAGGGATGATTCGTCTGCCTTTTTTCAGCAGATTGCTGCAAGCCCTCTGAATCACATTCTTTATGCATCATTGGGTAAGAAAACTGCAGAGAGGAGTTTACAAACGGTGTGGTGAACCAGCAGGAGGATGAAGAGCTTGGATGTGTGTCTGTACATTGTGTTTGGTTTATCATTGTTGCTGGTAAATTACTGTTGTTCTCCCCCAGTCACTTAGGTTCCCACTCGCTGATAATGTCTCATGTTCTGCTGCTAGTTTCTATAGACTGCCTGTTAGTATAAGTAGGAGATCACAGAATCCCAGGCTGGTTTGTGCTGGAAGGGACCTTAAAGCACATCCAGTTCCAACCCCCTGCCATGGGCAAGGACACCTTCAACTAGAGCAGGTAGCTCAGAGCCCCTAGATGACTGATGGTGTGCTATAGTCTTGGGTTTATTCAGTGTATCTCAAATGATTAAAACTACATGGATTTGAAGGGGTGAAATCCAAGCACGTTTTGCTGAATGTTAGAAATCCCCACGAGCAAGGGGAGCCACAGAAGCAGGGGCTGCAGCACAGCAGGGAACACACAGATCACCAGTGGGTAGATCACAGCAAAATCAACTCCTTCATCTTCTTCTAATTGTGTGCTGACTCCTACCTAGAGCTCTACCAGCTACAGCTGGCTTATTGACTCGGTAGTCTTGCACTGATTAACTGCTGCTTTAGCTACCGGAGCAGCCCCAGAGCAGTTGTTAAGCTGTGAGTAGGCACGTCGGTAGCATGCCAGCCAGAGTGTTTGGGGGAGGAGAAAGCTGCTGGGTGCATGCCTCCTGGATTCGGCTGCCCGCGCCGGGAGATGTGTGAGCCTGGGTGTGCGTGCTGTCACAGGCACACGGGCAGGGGCAGCTAAGAGCGAGCTGCGCTGCTCTGCTTCCCCGGGCGGGGGGAAAGGAAGGCTGCTGCTGCGAGTGCAAGCTGGCAGGATCATGACAGAGCCAAGCAGCAGAAAAGAGGGATTTAAAAAATGCCGGAGTGCCACTTTCAGCATCGATGGCTATAGCTTCACAATCGGTGAGCCTCATTTCATCCCTCTTCGTTACCTCGTTTGTCTCCTTTCCTCTCTTCCTTTGCAGCTCCAGTAAGTGCAGGTAAAAACCAGCTGTTGACAACTGCATTTTGTCACTGTCTGCCTTTAAAATGCACGGGTGCCCTGCAACTTTTGTCTGGGTAGCTTTCCCGTTCTGCCTTTCTCTGTTTTGATCTGCCCAAGAAACTTGCCTTTGATTACGCAGCCGCTCCAAACCTCTGTGCTGGGTTTTGGCAGGAGTTCACCGGGAACTTTTTGTTTTGGAACCTTATCTCAGGAAAGCCTGGCTCTCAGGCTTGCAGGTTTCCAACTCGCTGGCTGTGTTTCCTTCCGATGAGCCGGGAACATAACCCTTGGGAGCCTTGGCTTTGTTTCCAATATTGCTTTGTTTACTTAGCCAGTGTTTCCAAATACTGTAACCTTTCGCCGTTTCTCAGCTTGCATAAAGATGTATGTAACTGCTTGTTGCCTCTCAAACACAGAAAGCAGTATCGCTGGGGCAGGGAAAGGTGCAAGGGGAAAGTAGGCATTTTAGTTGGTTGTAGAGGCTTGAAGGGTGCAGTTTGTGTTCAGTGGCTTAGGGAAAAGTGAAGCTTCTCAAAGCCACAGGTATCTGCCTCCGTATCTCTCCAGGGGACTTGCTGTGCAAAAGTGATTCCCTGAGCAGGCATCTCCACTAAAACTGTGTATCTGACGAGGCTACATGATGTAAATCCCTATAGATGTTGGAAACAGAGAAAGCTTACCTCCTGTTCTAGTGTGTAGATGAGGTCCAAGTTAAAATACATGATAACTTGTAATAATAAAGTGATGCAAATTCCCCGTGGATACCTTTAAGATGACAGAGATTCTGCTTCCTAGCAGTGTGAAATCATGAAAGTCTTCCCTGACTTGTGCTAGTGTGATGGGGTCACAATATCATCTAATAATGATGGATACAAGGTCTTTATTGATGTAGGAAGAGGTACCTGTTTATTCCTCTGCTTAATGGAAAACTTGTTTTGCAGTCATTCACATCATGCAAGCATTAAACTTGCTGGAAAAAAATAGGAGGTGGAAATGAATGTTTAATTTACCTTCATATACTCACCTGTACCTGTGCATATAGCATTGCAAAGGTGAAAACTGCCAGCAAATGCAACTTTTCAAATGTCTTTCTCTAATGGGAAGGTAGTAGTTCTTCCACAGGTTAAGTTGTAGCATGCTCGCTGCTGAACTCCCTATTTAATCTTCCCCCCTCTAATCACCACTAATAGTGTTGTTTCATCAGTCGGGGTCAGTCTGGAACATAGACATCTCCCTTTTGACACACATAATCTGAAGATGCAGATTGGTTTTGTTCATAAACATGCCAACAGGATTGCTGTATCTGTTGCTCTGCTGCCTTGATTTCTACTTGTGCTCCCAAAACAACCAGAACAATTCTGTCTGAAATGACTCGGGTTTAGAATTGCAGCTTTTTTTGCTTCTCAGGACAGTTGTTGCATTCGAGTTCCTGTGCTATTTTCTTCTATTTGGTGCACACAACCGGTGTATTGATTCTGTGATCTGTGCATTATATAATATTGATTTTCTTATCAGGCCAAATGTGCATTGGATTGACTCACATAACCGTGGACACTTCGTAAACACACTATCTAGTATTACCAGCACTGTGTGGCAGACAGACCTGACTGATTCATGTATTTAGAATCCCAGCCTGGTTTGGGTTCGAAGGGACCTTAAAGCTCATCCAGTTCCAACCCCCTGCCATGGGCAGGGACAGATGGTCCACTGGACCAGGTTACTCAGGTTAAAGCCATTCCCCTTGTCCTGTCCCTACAGGCCCTTGTCCAAAGCCCCTCTCCAGGGTTCCTGTAGCACCTTTAGGCACTGGAGCTGCTCTACGGTCTCCCCTTAAGGAGCCTTCTCTTCTCCAGGCTGACCCAGCCCAGCTCCCTCAGCCTGGCTCCAGAGCAGAGCTGCTCCAGCCCTCACAGCATCTCCATGGGCTCCTCTGGACTTGCTCCAACAGCTCCACATCCCTCTTGTGCTGTTGCCCCAGAGCTGGATCAGGATTGCATGGGGCTCTCCCCAGAGCACAGGAGAGGAGGAGAATCCCCTCCCTCAGCCTGCTGCTCACGCTCTAGGGATGCAGCCAGCACACAGGGGAGCTCTGGGCTTTGAGCTCAAAGGTTGTTAAAGATTTGTTAATCTTTATACCAAAGGAAATGAATGTATCCAGGAGATCCCACAGCAATGTTAGTGTGTCAGGGATGGGCTTAAACATTCCGTCAGATGAAGACTTCGGTGCCGATTTCTAGTTTTGGGATACTGCAGATTTTTAGAAGTTCTTGTGAAATGCTGAGCTGCTGCATCTGCTGTTGCAGTGTCAGCTGGGAGGGAAGGCTGATACCCTTTAGAACTGAGTAATATTAATTGGAGAGAAATGAGTTTCCATCTGGGCACAAAATGAAGCTTAGCTGTCAGCGTGCAACACTTGGAAATTGTTGTCCAGCTTTGCTCCAGCCAGAGCTAGTGCCAGCGTAGGTGGGAACAACACATGGGAGTTTGGGTAGGTCTGTGGTGAAATGTCTGCATTGCTAGAAGGGAAGCATGGCAAAAGTTATAACCCTCGTCTTCTCTGTCATTACCTGCAGCTGCACTGTGGGGAACACCTAGAGAAGGATGTCTGCTTATCCCATCGCTTCTACAGTGGACTTGGCTCTAAGAAGTGATTTGGCAGTGTTAGGTTTGCAGTTGGACTCAATGATCTTAAAGATCTTTTCCAACCTAAATGATTCTATCACTCTATGAAGGAATATTTTGCATTGATTCACCTTATATACTAAGTGCTAAGAAAGGATGATCTTCACAGTGTTTTGACAAATCATAAAATTAACTGGGTTGGAAAAGACCTTTAAGAACATCAAGTCCAACCGTTCCCCAGCACTGCCAAGGCCACTACTAACCCATGGCACTGAGGGTTTCATCAACATAGTGTGTGAACCCTTCCAGGGATGGTGACTACAGCGCTGCCCTGGGCAGCCTGTTCCAATGCGTGAGCACCCTTTGGGGAAGGAATTGTTCCTCATCTCCATCTAAACCTCCCCTGGTGCAGCTTGAGGCCATTTCCTCTTGAAGACAGCTTACAATAAGACTTAATGAAAATTTTAATGGGCCTAACATCAAACACGAAATTATATGGGCATGGAAAAAGGCTGGGACAAGAGCTCTTTGCTGATTGCATGCAGTTAGATAGCCTCCTGTCTCTGGAGATGGTCAGCATCCATTTGCACAGCAGTGCAACCTCAAGCAGCTTCTCGACTGCTCTGATTTTCACCTTGGTTGCTTACAGCACTGGTGATGGGACGGGAGAGCTGTGAGAACCCCCCACTTCCCAAGGGCTTCACATCCCTGCAGGAGAAAGGGATATGCTGTACCAGAAATACACACAAATGTATGTTGATGCTTGATAGCTGTCTGGTGTATGAAGAAACAAGGTAGTTGCAAATCCCCTTCCTCCAGATGCCACCCTTTTGACAGATACCCTCTTGAGGTATGAGGCTGCCTTATGCCCACTGTGGATTTCTGTGTGGTCTGGGATATTCTGTTTTTAATGGACTTTTTGCACTGGTAGCACAATGTAAAGGGACTATAGTGGAGCCACAGTGTGAGCCATTTAGTTGAGACTATTTAAGACAGGAGCCATGCAGCTTAGTTTGCTCATATGAAGGCTTCATGATCTTTATTTGCCATGGGCTATGCCACCGAATTTCAGAGTCCATGAAGGTCTGTATACACAAGTTACTGTACTTGAGCTCTTGTTTAACTTAGCCTAAATTTCCCTTCACTAAAACAGACCAGAACAGCAGCTGAGTTTAAAGGAAAAGAAGTGAAGAGTTAAGGCCTATTTTCTTTTTTTCCCCTATCCTGTACCTTGTCTCATTGCTCCTGTGCAAAGGAAAGGCTATTAAATCAAAATGCCAGCATGTTACTGTGTGACTTTGCTGCTGTAATTGACTGACTGAAGGTGCAAGACAGAAACATCCCCTGTTATTAAGCCTGGGAAAATGGGAAACACAGACAGTAACAAAAGGATATTTTCTTTCTGCATTTATCACCCTCCTATGACTAAGAACTAACTTCATTAAAGCTCCCACTCTCTGCTTTTCATGTCCAGAAGCACCTGGTAGCACTGTTTTGTCCTGTCCAACATATCTAATAGATTTATGTTTATAGGTTAGAATGAGATGAAGTGATGGGGAGTTCTGCTGTAACTCGGCTGGTACTGGAGAGGAGGGATGTGGCACTGAAACACTTAGATTAGCTCACAGCAGTTGTTTCTGAGCCTTTCAGGGAAGTTTCTTTAGGAGGACACTGTCTCCATTGTGCATGTCTCTCCCTCCAGTTATTTATGGATGCTCCAAGTTTTGCCTGGTGGTGCTTTTGGACCCTATTTTGAAATAATACTTTAAAAGTGTGGGTTCATTGTTGCAGTTCACTGCTTGAAACCGATTTCAACGTCCCTTTCGATGGCACAGGTACAACAGCCAAAGTAGTTCTTGCTGGTCCCTCTGAGAGATCACTGCAGAGCCACCTCCTGTGTTGCGGTCAAAGAAAATGTTGGTTGAGGAGGTGCATGTGCTGTGTTGGTCTGGAAGACTGGAAGCAACTTAAATGTTGAACTCGGATTTATCTGGATAAGGAAAAATACCTTTAGCTCTGTGTCATGTGCTTAACATGAAGAAAATGCTGCTGTGGATTTTCTATTATTCTCTCTTGAAAGCTTGTCCATAGGTGTGGAATAGACAAGAATGGGATTATTCTAGAAAAAAAATAGAGAAATAAGAGCAGTTTCCTTTTTTGTATTGTCTTTGGCCAGAGAACTGTGTACATTATAACAATTCAGTTACCTGTTTTGCTTTTTGTGTATTAATTTTCAGCCTTATGGGACTTTGCCATTTATCTGAAGGCAATGGTAGCGTTTCAACCCACAAAAGGG